TCGTTCAATTAGGACAACCAGATAGAAGAGAGGAGGAAAGGAAGAGAAGGTAGCAGAGCTTACTGAGGACAAACTTTTTTAATTGGACGCCAGTTAATGGGAAACAAAGCCAATACTTAGAAGGAACAGAACAATTATAGAACAACCGAAATAATAGTCCAGCCTAAACATTTTAAAGGGAAAGGGGTGGAAAGCCAGATATGGTGAAGAAAATGCCACTATCCACTTAAGTTATTAAGGTCTGGCAAGGTCTCAGTGAATATAGACTTGATTTTGCCTGCTCAGAATTACTCTGAGAGAATCTTGCTTCCCGTCCTAAGTAAGGGTAACCCTGTCCTAAGGGCTTGCCATCCTAAGCAACTTACGGTAACAAGCAAGGGGAGCTGGTTCTGGGGAACTCGTAGAAGCCTGGGTGTTGTCAAGGTGGCTCCTATGGGAAGACGGAGCTTCTTCAAACTGCGGGAAAGTCCACATTCTCTTTTCCATGAGGATTCTCAGACAAGTGGTAAAGGCTAAAGGCTTTTCCACCTTAAGATCACAGAGCCCTATTCTGGGAGTTTCCTAACCTTGCCTTGGATTGTTTTTCCTTTCTTCCTGCTGCCGTTAATCAGCATGTTCAGGAAGCCACTTAATTCCCAGGAGGGCCACATTTCCTCACCTTTCTTGGAGGAATGACCCAGACTGCCCGGCCTAGGTTGCAAGGTGAAAAACAGCTTTCCCAGAGATGCTTCTCCTGTCGTTCTCTTCCTCTCTGAGTATCTCTGTCTTGGGTCCGTGTGACCGTGTGACACGCAAGAGACCTGGCATTTCCCCAGGCCAAAGTACCAGCTGGTGTAAATGTGTTTGACTTAATGGCAACAGACTCCTGGTTTCTTGCTGCCAAGGCCGAGTTTAACCTAAAGTTACCCTTAGGAAGGGCAGGGCGGGTTACTGGGGTGAGTCAACCAGTGTAGCGTCTACTTCTTTTTTACTCTTAAAGGTACAGGGACAGGGTATAGGCAGCGTGGTAAACAATCAATTAAAACTACCCAAGCGATAAGTGTACGGGTCAGCAGGTCTAAACTAAAGTCCCAGGAAACTTTGAATCACAGCCAAAAATCACCCAGACACAGTACAATCAGATTCACTTCACTTTTATTATGAACAAACACAATTTCAGATCAGTACAACTAAGCTTCAGAGTTGATATTAATAGAAATTATTCCAAAATTATTCTTAGGTCACAAATAACTACTATCCCACATAAAAAGGGGGAAATCCCACCCAATCAAGGAAAAGGTATCCTGTGTATTGTTTCCATGGCAATGAGTTTATGCATTCTCAAATGTTGTCTGGCTAGTTATCCACCACTTATCCAATGGATTTACTCAATCTCCCAGAGAGAACCATATCGATTAATGATAGCATCCAGGACCCACGGTTCATGGTGGACACAAGTTCATGGTGGATACTGCTACTATAAAAATACTCAGGACTTAAAAGAATTCCTCTGCTGAAGGATCCCAAAATGCTTTAAAAAAAGCATTAGTCACACCTCAAAACTGCCCTTTGAGGTAGGTCAGTATTATTATCCCATTTTAACAGAAGGAAAACTGAGGCACATTATAGTTAAGTGACTTGCCTAGGGTCACGTAGCAAGTCAGTGGCACAGTGGTAGGAGAGGCCCTGGCCTTAGCCACCCGCGAAACATTGACATCTTGTTTTCTTTAACCTTTCACGCTGACCCATTTGAGCTAGACTTACAGAGAATACACTCAGGATACTAGCAAACCGAGGAGGAAAAGTTTCCATTTTAAATGCTACAACCATCTTTTCATCTAAAAAAAAAAAATTATAAATCAAATACATTCAAATTACTTCCACCCTCCATCAAATGTGGGCACTTAATACAAATAGCCCTAAGAAAAGATTCCAAAATAAAGCCCAGAAGGGAATCCTGCAAACAACTATACTGATAATTCTCCAGCCAGGCCCCCTTTTCTACCAGCCACTTTTGCAGGCTCTCAGGTGCAAAGGAACTCCACAGAGGAAGTGAGAGCGGGGCTCATATGCAACACTGATTAGAAAAGATGTAAGGCACCCAAATAAGTTGTCAGCACACCCACAAAGCGAGGACTGTTAGAAATTCAGACTTGAGTTTCTGGGACATTAATGTGTCAATTGAACTCAGCTTTAGAATCTTGAAAAAAGTGTTCCTTACTCAGCAGACACCCTTCTACCTACACATTCTCCTATACACCGGGGCCCTCAGCTTGAGGACCCTGTCCAGCCTTGTGTAGGTCATGCTATGGATCAGATCCCTGCGACATAATTAGAATAGAAAGATAAACTTGTTTTTGATCAGAATTTATAAAGCAGGCATCTGATAACCTGTGGAATTAAAACTACCCAAGGGATAAGTACACAGGTCAGCAGATCTAAACTACGGTGATCTTCCAGTAGATTCTTTTCTACTGAGAGGAAGAGCTCAAAAGACAAGGATGCCTTTAGTCCAGGTTAACCCCTGTAGCCTCTGTCTATTTGATGAATACAGGAAGAAAGGCCCTCTTCCCTTCCACTATTAGGGCTCAACAGTGCACAGAACATTTGGTATCGTACATTTCCAATCTCTCCCAGAGTGAGTACAGCCAGGCTTTTGCATTGATGACTTAGGTACAGGGACAGAAATAGTCCAAGGTTCTCAAAACACCGATGATTTTTTTCAGACCTCTCCTATACTACTGTTTGCCCTAGGCTGTGTGGTGGGGAATGCTGGTTAGTTTACTGAACAGAGACGCTGTTCAGCCAAGTTCATGGCATCTCAGATCCCAAGTCTCGGCTTTGCAGTACACCCTGGCTCCAGGGAACGGGGCCTCCTTTTGAGTGAGGCACTTTGGAACTTCCCTTTGCTTCTTGTGCTTCCCAGTGAAGACTAGGCTCCCTCCCACTTCTACAAGCATTGCACTGTCCACTGGGAGCAGACTCGGGCTGGGCAGGCTTACTGAGAGGGCAGGGGGCAGCTAGCATGCTCTCTCGTGTTCTGATCCAGACAGAGGATAAAAACAAACCCTTTTTTGCCCTATGGCTGACTCACTGGTACCACATGAGCATTTGGCCTAGCTGTGCCTGAGCCAGGGATGTTTCTGGTAAGGTTTGCCAGCTTTGTCTTGAGTCATCAGTGTGGCAGGGGAGCCCAGAGGTGTAGATGGAGAGACTCTGGAGGCCAAGTGAGAGTGGCAGCTAGCTCAACTTTATAAAGAGAAACAGTGGTTCAGTGACCCTGAGCATTCTGTCGGCAGGAAGGGGAGCTTCCTGGTGAGCAATAGCCATCACTGCCTCTGAGTATCTACAAAAGAGGCTTCCTGCCCAGAGAAAGAAGAAAACAGCAGGGAGGAGATAGAACCTGTAGGAGAAAATGGACAGCTGGGGTAGAGCCAGGAATCAATAACCACAGTAGTTAAGAGATTCCTACCTCGCCTTCCCCCGGCCCAGGCAGTCCTATACTTTAGACTAAAATTTTAACAGAGAAGGAATGGATGAAATGGTTCAACACCGAGGGGAGAAGCCTTCTAGTTTTTATTCGTTCCAAGGAGAAACTGGCATTCATGAACGAACCTAAAATTTAACTTGTTTGTATAACCACCTTCCAAATTAGGACATCCAATGACTTACTCAGTAACCTTCTGAATCCCCTGGCAAGGTGTTCTCAGAGCCCTTCTTTTGTAAAGTTATCTCTTAGGAACTGCCAACAGACCTTGCCCCGGAACCTCTCCATCTCCTGTCCAGCAGTGAGAGGAAAGCAGACAACCCACCTCATTTCTCCTCTTTTTCAAGCATCCCTCTTGCAGAGGGAGACACTCTAAGTGAATTACTTTAACATTCCAAGCAAAGGATGTATGTATGTATATTTTTATGTTGGACCCAACCCCACCTCTTAAAATCCTTCCTTTCGTGGAAGGTGGCTGTGCTCACCACTAGGCCACAAACATGTTCCTCTTTTGGATGTCTGGAAACGCTTGAGCCACCTTATTACTATGATGGGAGCTGACCAATGTCCCGGAGATGGCAGAGCAGAAAGATGAAAGAATTTCGATGATTCCGTGATCCGCTAGATTCACCGATTCTGGACACAAGCAACCTCAAGATTTCTTGTCATATGGAATAAGAAATCTTGTCGTTATTAAAAAAAAAAAAAAAAAAATCCTTCCCCAGCAGAGACCACTTTTACTACAAACTAAATGCTTCTTTATCCTCAGACTAAACTACAGTGGGACATTGAGATTTGCTTTTGCGTTGCCAAGCTCTAGGCCCATTCCCCATTCAGAGTCAGGAGAGAGAGGAGGCATGCCATCTGGTGGGGCTCCAAGTCCCCACCAGGCAAGCGACTGTGTGTCCAATCACAGCAGGAGCTTCTTGCCTTGATTCCCACCTCACCCCATCTTTACTTTTCTCAATCATACCATACACGCTAACTCTCTCCCCTGACAATTTACCTGCTTTAGAAGCTTTGTGCCCAATAAAGTTATTTTCCATTCCAACTCGCAAAAGCCTGGGCTGAAGACAATTAACGGGGGCCTTCCCAGAAGATTTTATCCTAGCTCTAGCATGAGCCACCCATCCTGAGTCTCAGGACAGCTCAAGGAAAGAGTTATGTGGGGCAAAGCCCACAAGCTCTGGGCTACAGAACGGTTGTCTAGGCTTTGGAAGTTGGACACCCACCAATGAATGACGAGCTGCTTGCCTGGGAGGCAACGAGCGAGGAGAGGAAGGGAAGTGATACGAACAAAGCAAAGAAAATGACGATGGACTAGAAGAGAGGGAAGAGAAGAGCAAAAATAAGAATATCAGCTTAGTGTCGTGAAGGCAGAGTTGTTGGCTTTCAATTTTAAAAGAATACTGTACTGGAGTGGGTTAATGTCATCCTCTTTAGCATCCTGGTAGCATTATTCAGTAGTTAATAAACAGAACATTAAACCTCTGCCCGGCTGGCTTTCGGAAAAGGAACCCGAGGGACCCAAAACTCAGCCACTCTTGTAGCTTCCGTCTCCAGTTCTTTTAACCCTGGCCAGGATGGCGGCCTTGGATACTTTCTTCCGGTCGTAAGCCAGGCCGAGGAAAGCCATGCAGTCGATGAAGAATGTGGTGAAGTTGATGTGCCAGCGGTACTCACTGGCAGAGTAGTCATAGGGAAAGGAGTGGTGGTAGTTGTGGAAGCCCTCCCCTGGAACAGAAGCAATGAGAGTTATGGGGCCACGCTGGGAGCTGCAGTCTTCGTGGTCTCCGCGCGCTGGTTGCCTAGCAGAGGGCCTCAAACGCCTCAGAAACTTGCTATTGCTGAATGAACCAACGAACCCAGGCTCTTCGCCTCTGAACCCAATTGTTTCCCTCAGAGGCGCTGGGGAGCCCTGATCCCCCAAGCCTTTCTAGGAGCCTTTGTCAGAGAAGGACCGGCAATTTCTCCCAGAGGATAAGCTAACTAGAGAGAAACTGCTATGGCTGGGAATGGATTTCAGATTGGAAGATTCCAGAGCCTCGCTAAATATTGGTCTGAGCCGCTACAGGCTCTTTGTGGACATGTGCATGTGTCAGCGTGGGGAGGGGACAGGGTCGAGAATGAAGGACTTTTGCTGTGCTTCTTACAGAGATGAGCAAAGGACCACACCTTTCGCCACGGCATTAGCGCCACCTCGAAGGGGGGAAGATATTGACAGAATTGGGCAGTAACAGCCCAAAGGCAGAAGAAAAAAGGCCCAGTGCAGGGGCCCGAATTTCCTCAGTCACTACTGGTTTACAATGGACTGTTCCGGCTTCTAGTACTTTGAGCTTTGACCCTGGTGTAGGGTGATGCTGATAAAACAGAATCTCTCTGAGGGAGTAAGAATTAAAATGCTTATGGGGCACCCGGGTGGCTCAGTCGGTTAAGCAACCGACTCTTGGCTTTGGCTCAGGTCAGGATCTCACCGTTGGTGGGATCAGGCCCTGTGTCGGGCTCTGCGTTGACAGTGAGGAGCCTGTGTGGAACTCTCTCTCTCTGTTTCTCTCCTTCTCTCTCCCTCTCTCTCTGCTCCTCCCCTGCTCTCTCTCTCTCTCCCTCTCTCAAAATATATAAATAAACTTAAAAAGAAAAAGACTTAAAATGCTTAGATATTCCCTCTAATCTCTGAGATTCTGAGATGAGCAGGTCACTTTGCTGGACAGAAGAAAAACAAAGCAATTCCGGTTTTAGGAGAATTTCGGGAACAGGTAAAGCTTTGGAAACTCCGCAGAGAGTGAGCCCTCCAACCTCTGGCAGGACTCTTCCTTCCGGATCGATCGTATTCAACAGTAACAATACTGACCCTTAGAAAGCTGGGAAAGACTGGCTAATAAAAGAGCACACTCTGAGCCCTTTGAAGATAAAAGAACCCTAGTAGAGCAGTAATGATATTAATAACAAGCAAGTGAAGGAAGTCCTGCTAAGTAAATGACACCATCCAGGGCAAGTCAAGGTATGTCCTCTCTCTGTGACACCTGATTATCCACAGTGTGAACTGAGTAGGAGGCTGGGCTCGCCACAAGGCCGAACGTACCGACAAGATTACCAATTTCCATAAATGGTTTTGTACCAAGGCTCTGTACAAGCACCAACCAGGCCTCCGGTTATCAGATTTAAAACTAAACCAGATACACACATAGCCAAGAGGCCAAGAAACCGAGGAAGGCCCATGGATGGAACAGGGAGAGGACTCTACAACTGGGGCAGCAAGACAGAGCCCAAGCAAGGCTCAAGGGAGGAGGGCAGCTTTGGCAGAGAGAAAAAGAGCATGTGACTGTGGGGGAGGTAACTCAAGAAGAAAAAGGTTAGAATGGCAGAAAATAAGCCCCAGGAGAACAAAGGCCAGAGGTGAAAAGGGAGGAGTGCAACAGGTTGGAGAAACGAACGAGAGCCAAGACAAAGTAAGATACTGGCAGCCACTCTGAAGTCGTGCTCAGCAAGAGGCTGCAGTTGGGGAAGCTCGCCATAGACCCAGCACCAGGAGAGGACAAGTGTCATTCCAGAAACTTCCATTTCTGTGAAAGTCTCGGACTTGCATCGCCTAGGTGACTGATTTCAAGCATGGTTCAGAGTATGAGCGGGCGCACTGGTAGACGGTGCCTGCGAGGCGCGGGAGGCACATGAAAGTTCCGAAGAGATGGGAAAAAAACGCCCTAGTACGGATAGTAAAGATGATGAGGATTGAGAATCTAATGGGAGGTTTTAAAAGCGAAAAAGTGAAGGTTAGGCCACAGTGGGCACAAATACGTGGAACGGTGAAGTTGCCTAGATATACCGGATGACCAATAGCACTGATCATTGGTGAGGAAGAGGTCACGGGGTCTGCTTCAGGAAAATAAATTCCAGGCCTCGGTCAAGGTCTATATTTAGTTGAAAACAGTGACGGGGGAAAAAAAGCGGGGGGAGTCAGATGGTTAGAAGCCTGTTGTCTTAGCCTCTGGCTATTGACTGGAAGGATAGAAATAAATTCATGAATAGTCAGCATTAGATCAGTGAGCAGGTACTTGTGATCAAACTAACCACTTTACTCATGGTTCCCTAAGCCACGTTGTGGTGAAGGTGTGTTCCTAGCACAGAGGAGAAGCAGGAGAGAGAAAGATAAAGGGCAAGAGATAGGACTGATGAGTGGTGGCAAAGGGTCACCAACAATTGCTTTGATGCCCTTCATGTTGGCATCACCAAAGAATAAGGCGTGGCACATGCTTCAGATGTGGCCTCCCTGAATACAGCAAGAAGATAAAATAGAAGTTGGTGCAATTAAATTACAAGGACTTAGTCTACATTGTATACAGCACGTTTACATATAACACCCTAGGCTTACCGCCCACCCAAATGATCCTGTTGGCCCGTTTATGCATTCCCTGCCCCAAGCAAGACCTGCAATCCAGCCCAGAGGTGACTGGAAAAAGGAAAACCCAAAGGGGCTCATTATACATAGCATTTGGGAATGTTCTGGAATGTGAAATCAAGTGCATTGTTGTTTTTTTACCCTTTTCTTCCCACAGAAAATCTGTTGCCTGACTCTGAAAAGTTGTCTAATATATTGACCCTTAGTTTTGCAGTGGGATCCCAGACAGAAAGAAGTCCTAAAACAGGTTACTCTGGTTTTTCTGGCTCCTAGCCTAACACCCTAACCGGCGGACCACTAGAAGGGGTCTTGCTTCGGACTGCTGACTTACCTACAGCTCCCAGGGAAACCAGGATATTCTCTCGGGGGCTAATGGTGGTGTCATAAGGGCGATATCCGTAGAGGTGGGCAGCGCTGTTCACCAGCCAGGTGGCATTGAGCACAATGGCGTAACGCAAGAAAGTGGCAACGCACAAGCTGTGTATAAAAGTTTCACCCCAGAAATACCAGGGCACAAGAGTGGGCAGGATGAAGCACATCAACAGGATGCCGGGTTTGTAGTACCTACATTGAGAGACCATACGCTGAGTCAGAGGGGAGAGGACTCCTAGATCTGCCTGATTTTCCCACTGTCACCGGTGGGGCTCTTTCCTTCTATGGGGTACAACATAGCAGAAGTCAAAGCAAGAGGGAACGGGGTGGGGAAATGTTCTGAGAATGTCTCCGGGGTTAGAAAATGAGGTAATGACAGGTGAACTGACTTTTCTAGGATCACACCAGTAGGAACCGGTGGAGCAAGGATTGGAATGCTTGTCTCCAGCGTCTGCATCCAATGTTCTTTTTGACTGTAGCCTAATATCACCTTGGTAAGACAGGTGAGGTCCCAATTACCAACTTAATAAACTCAGTCCTCCTTCCCAGGCTGTTTTTCCATCCTGCCTTGTAGGCTCCTTTCTCTTTCCTGTCCATGGTTTCTGAGAGTCTGTGCTCTGTGTCTTGCCTCCACGTCCTGCTGGCCACCCCTCTAATCATTCCTCTCCTTCCTGAGCCAGGCACAGAGCGTCCTTGACGCCCGCAGGCCCTCTGGAGGCTCCGTGCCATTCTTCACTCTCTCCAATGTAGGCTACGCCATTGACATTTCTAGGGAACTGGTTTCCTGCTTCTCTTCAGTGGCCAGTGTTCTCTACTCTCCTATCATTAGTATTCCCTGCATCAAACTTTGCATTCCTGCCATGTTAACTGGCTCCCTGTTAACTCCTTACTCGTGGTCCTGCTTCTCAGCTCTCTGACTCAATGGTTTTTTTTTTTTTCGACCATCCGGAGACTGACCTTTCTAAAGAACACCTCCGGTCATGCCACATTGCTGTTCAAAAAACTTGTAATGGTTTCCCGTTGCCTATTGAATTAAGTCCTACTTTTGCTTTTAAGGCTCTACAAGAATAGCGTCAGCCTCTCTTTCTAGTCTTATTGCCACCACACCCCGTGCTTCAAGCAAAAGGACTTTGTGGCTGGAATGTGCTTTCATGCTTTAGCTCCTTCTCTTCTTTGTGTGTGTACTTTCCCTTCCCACACACACCTGTGAAAATCTCTATCCATCAGGGGATTCCAAAGCTATCTTCTGCATTAACCCTTCCCCCATGCCCCCCACTACACAACCTCCCTCCCCTTTGGGCCCCTCATTGGTATAGAAAACATCTTGCATGTGTCATGGCTGCCCAGATCTTTGGCTCTCCCTCCACTTCCCAACAGGCTACAAACTCCTTGAAGGCAGGGATTGTGACACAGTCATCGTTGTATCTGTGAATGTCCTAGGCCAATAAGTATTTGTTCAATCTAATTGGTTTAATTAAGAGAGCTCTGAGAGAAAGAACAACAGTCCATGGGCAGGGGCCTGTGGGCCGTTAAGTATGAGGGTTTTAAGTTAAATTCGGAACGTGCAAACTCACTGAATTACTCAGCTTCGGTTTATAAGCCCTAGGGGAAAAAAGGGGGTTCCCCAAACACTAGATGCCCAGCCCCGTTATCCCCTCACTCACCTTCTCTGGAACATCACCAGCTTCTCAGCTTTTAGGTCAGACAAGTCTAGCAAACCACCCTTCTCTTTGACGGCTGGGTGTTTGCGTACGAGCAGCCAACCCACATGAGAGAAGAAAAAGCCACGCCGGGAATTGTGAGGATCAGCATCTGTTTCTGAAAACTTGTGGTGAGCACGGTGATCTCGGGCCCATTCAAACACGTCATTCTGGAGGGACAGAGAAGAGGAACGTAGGCCTGATGAGAAATACCCTCTTAGAGGAATTCCACTGGATAGGCAACTTTAAGAGCCCATGGCTCTCAGCTCCACCTCACAAAATGCCCAGGGGTTGGGGTGTCAAAGGGGTCATGGAGTTGCCTCCTCTTGTCCCCCAGCTTGCCCATGAAGCTTCAGTGGAAGGGCAATTTAAAGTCCCCGGACCACAAACAGGACTAGCTTCTTCTTGAAGGTTATATGGTGGACAGAACGGAGGCAGATCACACAGAGCTCAGAGAGTTTCATTCGAAAAGCACATTGCAATTCTTCAAGCAAGAAAAATGCTGGAAAAGGTCCTCACGGGGCGCCAAACCCCTGGGCATGGAGATCACGAGGGAGGCAGCCTTGCATCCCAGGTCCCGGTCGGTGGATGAAGCTTCAGAGAGCTCCGTTCTGACGCCTTGCCATATAGACGATGGCCAGGCAAAGAAATCACGATCTTGACTCCATTTCCAAATGACCTGTGGGCTCCCCTAGGATTCTTTTCATCCCTTAAAGAATGTGCCAGAATCTCTTCCTTTGCCCCACAAAGACAACATCAGGAACCTTCAGTGCTGTGACAGAGATGATTATACAACTGTGGCAAGTACCTGGGATGCTGCCATGAAGGAGAGGATCAGTTTGCTTTCTTTCCTTTTTCCTCTTGCTCCAAGCGAAGTCCCGCACCACAGGCTATCTTTTGTCCATTGCTTCCACTTAATAACTGGGAGTTCCCTTTCCCTAGTTCCCTGTATTCTATCTCTGCCATGAACTCTTTGCCTCAACAAACTTCAATATTTGACTTAGCCAGACTGGCAGCCCAAGATAGAACCAAAATGTTGGTCTACCTAACTTGTCAGTGACACCATTTCCTCATCTGTAAGAGGGGGGTAATCACACCGACCTTCTAAGATCGTTGTGAGGGTTTCATGAGGTAATCCACGTCAAGGGCGTAGAATAGTCAGGCACATAATCAGTGCTACAAAGTGTTTGCTCATATACCCGAGAACACAGAGTCCAAGAGTCTATGAAATATCAGCTTCAATCCCATTATGGTGGAATCCTAAAATATTCGCCTAAAATGGCGAATTCATTGTCCAGTGTCTGCCCAGGAACACAGGGTCAGCTCCTTATGCACTGCGGCCCCTTATGATAAGGCCCCCAACAGCTAAGACTGTGTGACAACAGAGGGACCTTAGGATCGAAAATAATCCCATGATGCTGAGACTATTTCCTATGTAGCTCCTACTCCCTTTTCCAATGTGGACTTAGGGACTGGGCCTGCACTGGAGGTGACCCTAAAGGGGAGAGGAAATTGAGGTGCTGTCCAGGTGCAGCTCCTCTCCAGGCACTGAGCTCCTCCGTTCTGTCCCTGGACCATCAGAAGAGTGGAGGGAAAAGAGCTGAGCAGAGCCAGCTTCTTACCTGGAATGCCATCGTGTTGGCAATGATCAGGAAGAACCGCAGGGGCAGCCGAGCTTTGTAAGTCCGGTGACTCCATAGGCGATGAGCTCCCGCTGTTATGCCCAGGGCGCTGATCACATAGTAGAAGAACCCTGCCGGGAGAAGTTAGTGTGGGTAGTCACTAATCTGGGAAGACATTCACATGACGTTCTCCAGACTGGTCCGTGTGTTCTTTAGGCTTCGGGTGAGGATCTGTTTTGCCCTAGGCATCAGGGATGCCTTGGTCTCCCATGCCCCTTCCGTTTTACAAACTGAAAACTACCATCACCTCCCATCCTCTGGAACGAGCCAAATCCCAGGCACTTCAGAAAGGCCAGGCAGAGAAGAGGGCTCTTATCACCCAGCCACTTGTCATTCTCCATCATGAAGGACATTATCCCAGATCCCATTTCCTTTGACCTTCAGTTAAACTTTTCCAAAGTTTTAAGGACCACAGACGACTCCTGCAAAGTTTAGGACCTATAAGCAAGGGTAGTATTAAAATGTTTGACAGCCAGTATGGTCTATGCATTAACCAGTTCAAGGGACCCTGGATTCTAGAGGACACTCACAGGGCTCTGAACCGTGGCTATTTACCAACTAGTATAAAAACATTTCAATATTTTAGCAGGCAGTGGGGCCATATCGGGGGAAAACCCGCGCTGCACATAAGTCATATCTGCACAGTGTCTGAAGCTTTGCCAAGGCTTTGATGCTCTCTGATTCATCGGATACCTTGAATGGGATCTAATATCCTCACTTTGCAGTTACGTGTACTTTGCAGTACGCGGTGAGAGGCTGAGTGGGCTCGAAACCAAGTTGTCTGTCAACAAGCAGTTTGTGTCCCGGCTATACTGTACTCTCCACAGCCCCACGGTTCCTGTGTCCCTCCTTTGCCATGTGCCTCAGTCAGTCCCTGCTCCCTCTGGCAAGGCTAATTCTAGGTAGTGATGGGATGGCCTCCAAGCTACGGGCGGAATACCCCAACACTGTCCTGCCTCACCTTCCCGGAGGCCTGCAGGATATAACCTCTAGATTATACAGAGATATAATCTCCAACTGGGAAGTGGGTTTCTGCGTATAGCCATCTTCCGCCTTCCTGGAGGCCTGCAGGATATAATCTCTAGATTATACAGAGATATAATCTCGAGCTGAAAAGTGGGTTTCTGGGTATACCCATCTTCCTCTGCTCTAGGAGGCAGGGGCTGAGGCCTTGGTAGAGCGGTGACGGTTGACAATGTTTCATTCCTAGGAAAACTGCTAGAAACAATAGATCCTCAGTGGCCACGGAACTTCGTTGCAGTTGGAGACACTGCACATTGTAACAAATTGTCCTGTGTTCTCCTCCAGCCATAGATACCAGTTTCCTAAATAACCCCCTTCCTCCCCTATCCTATCTTCCTCCACCCTCTCCTGTTCCTCCTACAGGATCTGGAGGAGAGCCATGGGGCCAGAGTCTGTCCCAGTGAAAGCTCTACCCATAGTCTCTCTGAGCTGGGATTGGGGCTTCAGGTGATTTGCTGGCTTTAAGCCATGTGGTGAGTTCTTTCCAGATGTACAGTATCTGCCTGCAACTGCATCTGAAAAAGTGACAGTTGAGCCACAGCCGACCAGTCACCAGTGAGGAAGAAAAATGGCTCTGGGCATGAAAGCAAAAGCACTCAGCTCAGAACCAAGGAAGCTGCTAGGGCTTTTGCACGCCACAGAGGACCTGGCAAGTTGACTCAGAAAGCACATAAGATGCTAGTATTAACAGGGGCATTGGGAAAAGAGCCCATACACTCTGGTGCCTTTCTCTATCGGTATCTCTAAAGCCTATCTAATAGAAAGCCTTAAGTCCATTGGAGATTCATTTCTTCATGAATGTCCAACTCGTCGGCCTAAGGAAAGTCTCATAGCTTTGACTCTAAGAAAGATTTGAGAAGTTTTGCCCCTTGGCCAGTACTGCCGAGGTATCTCTTCAGCCCTAAGGGCTCTTCTGAGATGCTCTCAAAATCGCTCGGAACCATGAGAAATACTGGAATCACTACCAGTTGCTAATTTAACACTGTCCTTGGGGATAAAACAAAAGGAGAAGCCAAGCTCCTAAACTCTGAAGGTGGCCCTCTGACCCTCCCTTCACCCCTCTTGTTCCTTGAGACAGAGAAGTTCTGACTTCCTAGATACAGCTGGTCATCCCATCAACTAAGCCATCCACCACGTGGCCCGGGGGCGGGTGTGTGTGTGTGTAAATCACCATCCAGTCTCTGTGTGCCATGTTTCTCTGTCCAAAAGTACAGTACACACTCATGGGCAGAGCCCCCAAAAGGTAGCATTGTTCCCCCTGCACCAGCAGCCAAGGGCAAGGAGCAATCAGCAATTGTCTGGCCAAGCTCCGGGCCTCACGAGGCCTACAGGGAGTTCTGAGGTTGGAGGGGGCTAGGTGACAAAACTACCTGTGAAGATCCTCTACTGGGAAGAAGGAGCGGAGAGAAGAATCCATAGTCTCCCTGGGGGATCCTTAAACCTGCTCTTGACTTCTCACACTACAGCTGAAGTTCTGCTGGGTTCTCAGAGGGGTACAGAACACATGTCCCCTCCCCTCCCAAGCATAAGGGCCCTTCCTGGTCTGCAGATGAACTGATTTCCTGCACCCGGCCAGCCCCAGGAGTGACACACATGTAACCCAAAGAGCACTACCTTCCTAATCCCAAAAAAGTCCTGTTTGTCCCACTTTGTATCTGGAAAAATTGAGATCCCAAAGAGAGGGGATCTACCCAGTTGCATTTCTCTGTGGCACTGAGAAGATTTCCCAAGACAAAGCTTCAGGGACCAGATCCCACCACCTTTACACCAAGAGGTCCGTGGAGGGGAATCAGCTAAAACTTGGCCTACCAGCCCTTCGACACAACTCTCGGCCAAGAGTGCAGCTGTCGGCAGGCATCCCACACCCAAGACTGCTCTGGAAACCCTAAAGTTGTGTTTTGGAGGGGAGTTCTGGCTCACTACCCTCAGAGAGGGGCAACGTGGAGCCCCTGGGGCACTGGAGCCCTCTGCTCTCCCTTTCCCCTTCCCAGGTCAGGCTTTTGGTGGCAGAGGTGAAAATGCCTGCAAAGCACATGTGTGTATCCAGGGGGCAGGGCCCTGCCATCAGCCCATCCCCGTGGATCCCTGAAAAAGCTGAGCTAAGGGCAGGTTAGGGACAAACCGGAAACCATCTCCCTCACTGCAGCAGCCTCAAGGCTGGGGCTGCTCAGGGTTCTCTTTTCTGGACTGGCCTGGCTGTCCCTGGCAAGGAGGGACTTCCTGACATCAAGAGAGAGGGGCCAGAGCATGCCAGATGGGCAATGGACATGAAACATTTCCTCCGTCATATTTCGTTCTCAGAACATTTTCATTTGGTGGCATGCTCAGTTCCCTGCAGACGTCCATGGAGTCGCAGCAACATCTGTGTGACCTGCTTCATACAGGAGCTTTCTTCGTCTATTTAACAAAGAAGCCTGGTCGGGCCAAGGGCCAAGGCAAAATTATTTTGTAGATAACCTCTTCTCTGTTCCTCCCTCTTCTACTAACTCTTTTCCTGAGCGGGTTCTCTTGCTTTCCTAGGACTGTGCTCAGCATATTCCCTCTAAAGCTGCTGGTCTAGTCCCATGTTCCCATGCCTCCCAGGTTGTGGCCTTGATCCTTTTGTGGCCGGCAGGGCTAGGACAGGCAGCCAAGCAAATGACTTGAAACAGAAATGCTCCTTCAGGGAGAGCTGACTCTTTGGCCCAGGTCAACTCATTTCAAAGCCTGCAGCACCCGGTCTCAGGGCTCCCTCCCCAACCCCCATATTAAAGGACCCCCAGCATCGTCACTCCTGCATCCCGATCCCCCTAGGCTCCGTGCTCAGCCCACCATTCTTGAGTCACCAAGAGACATGGCTGGGAAAACCTGGGCCTGGAGGGGCTGTTGCCTCTGCTCTATGCAAGATCCTACCTTATTAGAGGAGTGGGGAGAAGCCAGGGTACTGGGTCAGAAGGACAAGGGAATCTCTTACCCCAGATCCAGGTGTAGACCTTGCAGGTGGGAACCAATATGATCCCATAGAGGGCTCCTAAGTGTAGCAGAGACATAAGGATGATGTTTCTCCAAACGTACTGAAGCTTGGGCCTTGGGCCCTCGGGATCTTTGTAGCTTGGGTCGTAGATGTCATCTTTCATTTCAGGGCGGATGTCTTCTTCCAAGTATGGGGAAGGCTTCTCCAACTTGCACCCTCCATTCTGCAGAATCCTGGAGGGAGGCGCTGTGATGGTGGTGGTAGTTGTGTAGGAGCTAGAGATCTGGAGGGGAGAGGAAGCAGAGTCAGGAGGGAGAAGAAGACACGTGCACGTAGCCCTTGCCACTTCACTCTAATCAAGGGGGGGGAGGGGAGGGAGGGAGGGTGGCGTAGGGACAGACCCTGCGCCCAAAGCCCACGTTAACTGAAGAGTCCGGAGTACCTCTGATGGAAGAGAGGGAAGCCCCCAGGACCTGTGCAGATAGATTGTGGAAGGTGGTGGAACCTCAAGGTGAAGATGCGATAGTAAGGAGGAGAAAAACACTCGCACCCTTAAGAACACACAAAGGAAAACCCGCATGCATATATAGACATCAAAGTACCGGCACGACCAGGTTTTTCTTCAAGGCTGAAGAAACAAAAGTTGGGGAACCAAGTCCTCAAATTACAATCCACATTCCCAACAAATTGAAGGCAGTACAACTCGCAAAAGATGACTATACAGTCCACGGAGATCTCAACGCTCTCGTCCACCCAGCGCCTGTGAACCCGCAGTGTGCGGGCAATTACTTGGAGCTCACCTCCTCTTGCAGCAAGTGGGCCGGCATCTGGGCTCTCTGATGCGGGGATCACTTTCCCGGGGCTGAGACTGCAGAGCGGAGTTCCGGACGGCCGGAACAGAGGGTAGACTTCGGTTCCCGAGCCCGCGTTTGCGTGGTGACCCGCGGCGCTGCGCCCCGAACCCCTCTCTGCGCGGTGCGCGCCGGATCGGTGTCGGGATCCGATCTGCAGTACGTGGCTCTACCCGGGATGGGTATTTAAAGGCTAGAGCTGGCAGTGGATGTCCCGTATTTCCTCAGACCCCTTTTATTCGCTGCCAAGAAGGGGCAAAGTGCGCGGAGTTGGCTCGCCGTGGGAGACCCGCCTGGGCGGGAGAGGGGAGGAGACAGGGCTGAGGCGTGCTGCGGGATGGAGACGCACAAACAGGATACTGCAGACACACCGCGGCTCCGCCGCTGCAGCCCAGGCCCCTGCCCCTGCCCCTGCCCCCGGGGAAATGCTAATGTGCTTCTGTAGAATCTGGCGCGTCATTGGCCGAAGGGAATTTGGTGCCACCTCGTCCAGCCGTTGCCATTGGCTGGGCGCAATCTGCTGTTCCCTCTGCCGCGAGCTACTCGCTCCCCCTCCCGTCTCTTTCTCCTTCTCGGCTCCTCTTCCCCGGCCGCTGGCCCGGTGCCCGGCACCCTGCGGGCTCGGAGGCGCTCGGGAGCTTTCCCTCCGCACGCGGGAGAGGACCCGGTCCGGGAGTGGGGGGTGGCTACCCGCCCGGGACTGGCCCCGACC